GTTCCTTCTATGCCCCTAGGGGCTCGACTTGATATGTCATCCGGTCCAGTTTCGAAAAGACAAAGGCGAAGAAGAAATAAGGTCTTAAAGAAACTGGAACTAAGAACAGTGGCAACAAATATTATAGGAGCTATTGAAAGGGCTCTCTCGAAAGATGAACCCCAAAAACAAATTGAAAGTCTTGTCTTTGTTGGAAAATCCAAGGTGGATGAGGGTAAGCAACCCTTGGGAAATATTTCTACTTTGGTTGAACTATCTATGGAGAGAATAAGAAAAAGGCCTGTGACAAGGTCTATAACCCGTTAGGTTGAAAACAAAGCATCGCAGTCAGATGCTTCAAATATGAGTAATGTTGTGGGGGTTGATGATCCTTTATACGAACAAGATGATTCTATCTCGTTTGTTTCAACGACTATTGGAAACAATGAATTGAAAGATATCAACAAAGTTGCAGTTATGATGACTGAGGTTGAGAAAGAAGGTGAAAATTCGCAGGTCCAACAAGATCAAGGTCTCAAGGAAAAAGTGGTGGCCCTACAAGAACAACTTGAGAGAAGAGAACGGGAAATGGCTGCTATGTTGGAGCAAATGCAACAGTTGTAGGCCCAAATGACAGGACCAGGAAGTGCACCCAAACAAATGACGACACAACCTGTTGTGGGGACATCCGTAGGCATACAAAGCACACTAGCCCCAGGGGGCAATGGTCCTTGTTACTTCGATCTAACCAGTGGTGGTATGAATCCAGTGCTCATGGCCATGATTGATGATATGGTGAGGAGACAAGTAAAGAAAGTCAAAGAAAAAGATGATGAAAACTTTCGAATAATTACAAAACCTTACCCAGCGTGGGTAGATGCTGTTCCATTCCCTTCTGGTTTTTCCCAACCAGATTTCAAAATGTTTGATGGAACAGGAGATCCAAGACAACATGTGGCTTATTTTCTTTCAAGGTGCGGGCCAATAGCCCAGAATGAGGCCCTGTGTCTGCAGCTATTTGTTCAATCACTTGAAAGTTCTGCGTTTACTTGGTATGCTAACCTTCCTGAGGGATCAATCTTGAATTGGGATTCCATGGTGAAGGAGTTCCTTAAACAGTTCTGCAACACACAAAGGCGAGTTGGAGTACCAGAACTGATTGAGACCAAGCAACGTGACAATGAGTCTGTTACAGATTTCATTGCAAGATAGTGCGCTTTGACATTTGCTTGTCCTCAAAAGTTTACACAATTAGAGTTAATTCGGATGTGCCTTAACAACTTCTGACATGAGCTCTCTACGGCTCTTATGGCTCAAACTTTTGAAGGATTCAATGATCTACGCACTAAAGCTCATGATATGGAGCTGCATCTAGATAAACGAAGGAGACCTAGGGCCGTTGAAAGGGTTGAGTCGTCGACTGCAGCTACAATTGAAACCAGAAAGAAGGGTCCCGTTGTAGTAGTGGCTAAAAAGCCTAAGGAATTTAAAAAGGTGACTATGAAAGAGAAGTTGGAGAAGAAGTATTCTTTCATGGATGATCTGGTCGAAGACCTATTTGAATATCTGTTGGAGCAAAAGTTGATTGCTCTCCTTGAGGTGAAAAGACCACATGAGGTAGGAAAGACCAACGATCCAAAGTATTGCCCCTACCATCGTTTGATTAGCCATCCGATAAAAGAGTGCTTTGTTCTGAAAGATAAAATTCAGGAGCTTTTGGACTCTAAAATTATCGAACTCCCACCTCAAGAGAAGGTATCTGCTAACCCAATCACTATCGACAATGATAATGAAGATGAATGGGTTGTTTATCAGTCAAAAAGCATGAAGAAAAAACAAAATGCCACAGTGAAAGCTAGAAGTGTAGTTGATTCAACAACATAAGGGCCAAAAGTTTCCAAAAAGCAAAAACCAAAAATTTCTAGGAAATAGAAAAAAGCCAAAGTAAGTAAGAGAAAAGGAAAAAAGCACCCAAAGAAGGAAAAATGGGAGAAATTGGTCCCTGATGAGCAGTTAGAGCAAGGTCCTCTTGTCCCAGTCACATTGGAGGAATTTCTACCTTCAAAATTTCAATCTGTGGAGTTGCAGACATATTTTGATAAAAGAAGGGAGGAAAAGTTTACTTTGGCCCCTTGCCTAACCATCATTGTTTTGAGTGATGGCGAGGAAGATGAGGGTGAAGTTGGTTCAAAAGTTAGGCAAGGAGATTGCATTACATCTCCTATCTGCATACCTGACTCACCAGAGTATACACCAACTTCTCCAGAATACACACTAGCCTCTCCAGAATATACACCAGCTTCTCCAGAGTATACGCCAGAAGCCTTTTCTCCAGAGTATTCGCCAGTACCACCAATGTACTATCAAAGTACTCCAGAATATGTAAGGGAAACATAACAAGGAGACACTGGGTGTAGGTTCGACTCAGAGCTTGTGAAAAAGGCAAAAAAACGACTACACTTCAAGAATGATGAGGTGAATGGCAGGTGTATGTCGGATGATGAAGTATGGAAGCATTCAAGTAAACAAGCAAAGTCATCTCAAGTTGAGGATCCTAATGAAGATTGGGAACTTGACTTTTCTCTTGATAGTTCACCATGCACATCCCCAGCTAGGACATACGATGGAGAAAGTGTATCAAGTGACCACTTTGACTTTCCTTGTAATGTCATCACTGTGGATGTAAATTTTGAAGAACGAGAAATATATATCATTTGCAATCTAGGTGATGATGAGAAAGCAAAAATTGAAGCTAGAAGGGAAGCAAAACATTAGGCAAAAGTAATAGTCTCTTTGAAAGATGAGGGTTTTGAAGCCCATCAAAATTCGATTATTGAAAGAAATCAAATTTCTGGACACCTTTTCCCTAATTGGGTTGAATGGGTTCAGTTCCCACGAGGATATGCAGTACCTCGTTTTCCTTTATATAATGGGACAGGTGGTCCAAGGCGCCATTTGGTTCGTTTCCTTGCACAATGTGGAAACACAGTAAAAAGTCAGGTGTTACTTCTACGGCAGTTCGTTCTTTCTTTGGAAGGATGGGCAGCAGATTGGTACTTCAGCATGCCACCTAATTCAATCCTAGATTGGGACACCATGGCTGATCGATTCTATAGGACATTCTATAAACCATGGCCAACAGAAATTGAGATGTCAGAACATTTGGATGACGAAGGTACATCTTCTCAAACATATGATTTCATAGAAGGCACAATTGAGGAGAAGATTGAAACTGCCCTTGACCTTCGAGAGATGGGCACTTATCGCCCAAGGGATTTGTTCCCTTTATGGGTAGAGCAAACACCATTTCCTGAAGGATACGAACTTCCAAATTTTGTCCTATATGAGGGGTATGGAGATCCTCAAAAACATGTTAGGCGTTTTTTGAAACAGTGTGGGGAAACAGCTCAACATCAAGCACTTTGCCTAAAACAATTCTCCCTTTCCTTAGAGGGGATCGCCTTTGACTGGTATTACTCCCTCGATGGAGTCGTGGTGCCTAGTTAGGAGGCCATGAAGAATGGTTTTGAAGAATCTCAATGCTTTTATAGGCGTGACTCCTGGTACCTAAGAAATGGGAGAAGAATGCAGTTCCAGGAAGATGGAGAAGTGACTGATGATGATGATCACCCTGCAGTTGGACCAGCTAGCATGGTCCAAATAAGTGAGGGAATAAAAGAAGTTGAGGTCAATGAAAAGGCGGTTGCTGAAGTATGCCAGACTTACTTGACCTACCGGAGGAAATTACGAAATCCTCAGGATCCTCAAACGTCAGAAGTTCCACAAGTTTTGCTGGAGGAAGAGCAAGCGAAATATGATGTACTAGCTCATCTAAAGAAAATTCCAGCATTGTTGAGCGTATATGATGCACTAAAAATGTCTTCAGAGCTTCGAAAGTCTTTAATATATGCCCTGTCCAAGCTAGAGGATTTCCACAAAGAAATTGAGGGTAGAAATCAAGATAAGGCAACTACATGCATGGCTATGGTAACCTTTGGTGACAAAGACATGTGTGCTGAAATGACAGACCATAATCGGCCTTTGTTTATCACTGGGCTTATCCATGATGTGAAAATTTCTCGAATTCTCGTTGATGGAGGATCTGCGGTAAACCTTCTGCCTCGGAGGGCCTTAAATTTATTAGGGGTTCGAATTTCACAACTTCGCCCAAGTCGTTTGGTCATTCAAGGATTTAATCAGAATGAGCAACGCCCAATGGGGAAAATTGAATTGCAAACCAAGTTTGGGGATATTGAAGAAAGCACTGAGTTCTTGGTTATTGATGTAGACACCTCTTACAATGCTTTGCTTGGGAGACCATGGATGCATAATCATCATGCAGTGCCATCAACTTATCACCAATGTATTAAGTACCTGTTGCCTTCACCCAAAAAAGAGGGGACAATTGTGGCTGACAATGATCCATTTGGAGAAGTAGAGGCCTACTATGCTGATGCTCGCTTCTATACAAAGACTTCACAAAGAAAGGGAAAAGATGTGAAGAAGTCTGAAGATACTCTGAATGTCAAAGACGCTCTAGAGTCTACTCCAGTTTCAACAAAAAGAACTTTTCGATATGTGCCAAAGTCCGAAAGGAAACTGGGGCAAAGGCTCTAACCCCAATAAATCCAATTTTGGATCTCAAGGGTGAGTTCACGTTGCCATTAAGGAGGACAGAATGCAACTATGTGGAGAAATATAATAAGATTGTGGTCCCTTCTAAAGGAAAAGGGTCGAAACCCATCATATTCCACTCACTTGGAGATGTTGAACAGAAAGTGAAAGTTGAACAAGTGCCAGAAGAAAACATCTCGAGTTTTGAGAAGCCTACCTTCAGTGCAGAAATCACACAGATGTTGGTAAAAGTTGATTTAGATCCTGAAAAAATACCAGGAACAATGACACCCTTTGACTTTGCATTAACACCTTCACAGAGGTAGGCTATCCAGCAAGGCGATTGTATCACCGCTAGGACAGAAGGGTTAGGCTATCAAGGGGATGAGGAAAAATTTCCAGTAAACATGACTATCACTCAAGATGTGTTGGAAGATGTTGACCAAGATGAAGCTCAACCTGCACCAACAGAATTTGAAGCAGGAGGCCAAGCCACCGTGGATGACCTTCGTGAAATAAATCTGGGTGATGAAGGAGAAAACAAACCAACCTTCATTAGTGCAAATTTAAAGGAAGAAGAAGCTCGGCAATATATTTCCTTTTTAAGGGAATATCGTGACATATTTGCATGGAACTACAGTGAGATGCCTGGTCTTAATCCAGAGATTGCAGTCCATAAGCTTGCAACTCACCCTAAGAAACGGCCAGTTAAACAGCCTCAGAGGCGAACTCGACCAGAGCTTACAGCCCAAATTGAAGCCGAAGTCGACAAGCTTATCAATGCAGGATTCATCAGGGAAGTCAAATATCCACCCTGGCTAGCAAACATAGTGCCAGTCAAGAAAAAGAATGGTCAAATCAGGGTTTGCATTGATTTCCGTGATCTCAATGGGGCTTGTCCTACAGATGACTTTCCTTTGCCCATCATTGAACTTCTTGTAGATGCAACTACTGGGTATGAAACCTTGTCTTTTATGGATGGATACTCAGGATACAATCAAATCCGAATGGCACCTGAAGATGAAGAAATGACTGCATTCAGGACTCCGAGAGGAGTCTTTTGCTATAAGGTAATGTCTTTTGGCCTGAAAAATGCTGGGGCCACGTATCAAAGGGCAATGAGTGTAATTTTTGGTGATATGCTCCATGACACCATCGAATGCTATGTTGATGATCTTGTCGTCAAGACAAAGGAAAAGGAAAATCATGTGGAAGATTTGAGAAAAATCTTCGAACGTTTGAGGAGGTATAAACTCAAGATGAACCCACTAAAATGTGCATTTGGAGTTTCATCAGGAAAATTTCTTGGGCTTGTGGTTCGAAACAAAGGGATTGAAATTGACCCTACCAAGATTAAAGCCATTGCCGAAATGCCTCCACGAAATTTAAGGGAATTGAAGGGGCTACAAGGGAGATTGGCCTATATCAGAAGATTTATTTCTAACTTGGCTGGTCAATGTTTGCCATTCTCAAGATTGATGAAAAATGGTGTTCCATTTGAATGGGATCAGCAGTGCCAAAATGCTTTTAATAGTATTAAGGAGTATCTTTTGAAGCCTCCAGTACTCATGAGCGCAATAAAAGGGAAACCACTTTTGTTGTACATAACAGCCTTGGATGGTTCGTTAGGGGCACTGTTGGCACAACATAATGAGCATGGGAAAGAAAATGCCTTGTATTACTTGAGTCGTACTTTGGTTGGGGCAGAAGTCAATTACTCTCCTATCGAAAAGACATGTCTTGCCTTGGTGTTCGCCTTGCAAAAACTAAAGCACTATGTCTTGGAACACGAAGTCAAGTTGATATCAAGAGCAGACCCCTTGAAATATATACTTTCACGGCCCATACTTTCAGGGAAAATTGCAAAGTGGGCTGTAATTCTCCAACAATTCGCAATTGAATATGTTCTCCAAAGAGCTGTAAAAGGGCAGGCTCTAGCAGATTTTTTGGCAGCACATCCTATACCTGATGACTCACCTCTAGTAACTGATTTACCAGATGAAGAGGTTATGCAAGTAGAAATTCAGAAAGGATGGGAGATGTATTTTGATGGAGTTTCAAGGAGTCCAGATGGCAAGAAGCAAGAAAATCCTAAAAACAATAAAGTTGGAATTGGAATTGTGTTTGTGACTCCAGACAATGCTATAATCACCCATTCTTTCGCCTTAAGTGAAGGATGCTCCAATAATGAGGCAGAATATGAAGCTGTAATTGCTGGATTAGAATTGGCATTACAAATTCCTATTGAAGAACTCTCAATTTATGGAGATTCGGAACTGGTGGTAAAGCGACTCCGTGGAGAATACATTGTTAAGAAAACAAGTCTCATCCCGTATCATGAAAGGCTGATCAATTGCTTTCGTAATTCAGGAAAACACATATTTTCCATGTGAAGAGAAGAACAAATGCTCAAGCTGATTCACTTGCAAGTTTGGCTGCATCACTCACCCTACCAGATAGCAAAACAATTACTTTCACGATAGGTGAAAGAAGGGTGTTACAACCTTTAAAAGAGGTTTCTGACTTGGTTCCAATCTTGGTCGTCACCACGAAAGGAGAAAACGAGGAGGATTGGCGGGAACCATTCATAGCTTACCTCCAACATGGTCGGGTACTTGAAGATAAAGTAAAAAGAATTGAAGTGAGACGCAGGGCTACCAAATTCGTCCTGTGGAAAGATGGAACGTTATACAAAAGGTATTTGGATGGAATGTTCATGCAGTGTATAGCCAAGGAGCGTATTCAAGAGGCAATGGCAGAAATACATGCAGGTGTATGTGGGGCACACCAAAGTGGTCCTAAATTACATATGCAGCTGAAACGGTTGGGATACTATTGGCCGACTATGATTGCAGATTGCATAGATTATGCTCGAAGATGCCAAGTCTGCCAATTTCATGGGAACTTTCTCCACCAACCCCCAGAGCCTTTACATTTTACAACTTGTTCTTGGCCATTTGCAGCATGGGGTATGGACATTATTGGTCCTTTTGTACCTCCATCTTCAGCAAGATATCGATACATCCTAGCTGCAACTGACTATTTTTCAGAATGGGCAGAGGCCGTGGCTTTAAAGGATATAAAAAGCACAGTTGTCTCCGAGTACATCCGAACCCATATCATTTACAGGTTCGGGATTCCAGAAAGTATCATCATGGATAATGGACAGCCATTCAGGAGTGATGCTTTGAACAAGTTATTTGCCAAGTACAAAATCAAAAACAACCATTCATCAAGATATCATGCACCTGCCAATGGTTTGGCAGAAGTTTTCAACAAGACATTGTGCAAAATTCTCAAGAATATGGTGGATAAGAACAAAAAAGCTTGGCATGAAAAGTTACAAGAAGCTTTGTGGGCTTATCGGACTTCGCACAGAACTCCTACTCAAGCAACCCCTTATTCGTTGGTCTTTAGAGGAGAAGCAGTGTTACTACTTGAGGTTCAAATACCATCATTGCGAGTGGCAATACAACAGTCCTTAACAGAAGATGAAAGTGCAAGAGTGAGGTTGACTGAGCTCGAGACCCTAGATGAAAGAAGGTTGTATGCTCAATAGAATTTGGAGATCTATCAACAAAGGATGGCAAATGTGTTCAATAAAAGGGTGAGGCTTCGCTCCTTTAAAAAGGGAGACTTGGTACTAACGGTTAGAACACCCATAGTAGTCTGTTAAAATTGATGTATTATTGATTGATATATGTTATATTTTACAAATGGTGAGGGGCTCCTTATATAGGAGATGTAGTGGAGTAGGTGGTAGTAGGTGGTAGTGGTAGGTGTGTAGTAGGTGGTAGTAGGTGGTGGTAGGTGTAGTAGGTGGAGTAGGTGATGGTAGGTTTTAACAGCCCCCCGCAAACTCAAGGATGGTATAGGGAAGCTAGGACTCGAATCGTGTGACGTTTGAAGGAGAGACAAGAACTAAGAATAATAATCTTGAGAAAATAAAAAATGGATAGGAGACACTGTAGAATGGGTCGCAGCCTGGTGGTCAGGAAGCGTGTGAGCTTTTTGTATTGGTTATGGTCAGACCGATGTAGATAGTACACTGGCTCGTGTTGGACCGATGTAGAAGACAGTTTATGGGCTCACTGTTCTGTACCCGCTTTTTGTTATGCAAGACAAATGTTGTGGTCCAGCCAGAGGTGTTAGTTAGAACAGTTATACAGGAGTCTTGACTGGAGCACCCTTTAGTAGAAACTAACTGCGGTAAGTCGGAATTCGTCCGCGGCCACACGTTCTCCTAATC